TTCGTTCTCGGTTGTATGCGGAGTCCCCAAGGAACTGGCTTATTAGTTGGGAACTAACAACCGTACGAGAGGCTCCAGTGTCTATGGTCAGTTTACACGGCATTCCGTTGACCTCGCCCTTGATGATTAGACTGTTCCCATCATGGGTTTGTGAGATGGAGATCCTTGGGGCTCTTTTAACATCAGCCAGCACCCGCCCCGCAGTTCTGGCTTTTACTCGTTTCCCTGCTGCTGCTGGGCGGTGCTGTTGGCCGCACTACCCTCCTGAGATCGTTCACCTTCCCTTTCTAGGGTTCGCTTAGGGCAGCTGGATCGAAGATGGCCCTTTTCCCCACAGCCATAGCACCTAGGGCTGTATCCTTTGTTGCGGTCGCGAACTGTAGCTGCTGCAACCTCCCTGACACGATGGGAATGCCGCACGGCTTCCACCTCCAGTGCATGGGCCAAGGCATCCTTAAGCGTCTCATGGTACCCGAGCCTCACAGCAGCTCTGACTTCCAGGTCACGGATGCCGTCGATGAATGTCTGCACCAGGTTCCCTTCAATGAGCGCAGGTACAGACCGGTATGCTTTTCGCACCAGCTTCTCCACCTCTAGAGCTCACTGCTGCAGGTTTTCGTTGATGCGCTGCACGCGAACTTTAAGCTGCGCACGAAAGACCTGTTCCAGGTTAGTGTCGCCATATCTCGCCTCCAATGCCTCAAGGAGTTGCTCATAAGTCACTTCCTCACCGAGAGCTTCCAGAACTGTTAAGGCCTGGTCGCGCAGACCTAGTGTGAGAGCAGTCATGGCCTGACTTTTATTCCAGCCGTTCGCCTTCATAACAGCCTCGAACTGGATTTTGTAGGCTGACCAGGAAGAGGTACCGTCGAACGGTGGCACCTTGAACCCACGTAGCGAAGGTGTTGTAGCTACTACGGGAGCTGTAGCTCCATCTCCAAGTTTGAGTTCGTCCAGCGTTTTCTTCATGTCAGCCATTACGTTGTTAACCCGATTGTTTACCTGGTCGATTCGTGTTTTAGCTTTCTCGATTCGAGTTTCAGCTTTCGCGATTTGGGTTTCAGGTTCTAACAGGCGGTTGTCATGCTGAGTAACCCTATCCATCACCTCCTTGATCTCCTTCCCGAAGGTAGTGTGAAGATCCTTCATGAGGAGCATCTGCTCTTTCAACCGACGGGCCTGTTCCTCCTGTCCGTCCCGCAGCTGCTCTTCCAAACGACGGACCGGTTCCTCTTGTCCGCCCCGCAGCTGCTCTTCCAATCGACGGACCTGTTCCTCTTGTCCACTCTGCAGCTGCTACTTCAACTGACGGACCTGTTCCTCCTGTCGGCGAGCCTGCTCCTGCAGCATCACCATCAGAGCACCTAAGTCAGGTGCTGCAGATGTAGGAGCTACTGACGGGCCCGCAGCCGGCGGCTGGCCCTCCGACGTCTGCGGCGTTGCACCACCAAATCTTCTTTGGTCCGTCTCCTGCTGGCGTTGACTTCGGGTACGGACACCCTCCGTTTTCTCCTTAGGTAAAATCGGCATTATTTTATCCCACTTTTGACACCAATTGTTACGAGCTTGAGGTTCGTGACAATAAAAATTGCCGATAGAATTACCAAAATTAACACTTTAATTCACTTTACACTAATTAAAGTTAAAAACACTAACAATTAATCACACTGATTCACTTTATTCCGCTCCGAAGCTTCGCTTGTCTCGCCAACTTCAATACTTCCCTGATCGCATCTTGCAGCGCCTATTTATATAAATTAGCACGGAAATATCCAGAATATACAAGTAAACACGCGCAAGGTACCGAGAGTTCGAATTTCAAATTCAAGAAGTTTAGTTCTTCGGTTCGAGACTAGATGGCGCTAGTGCCGTCGACTAAGACGCGTAACAATATCTATAACAATTTTATTTTAATCTACAGGAACCCCATAATGGGTAAAGGCCTCCTCCAGTGAGTCTCCCTCTTGTTTTTTTGCCTATTGGGCCATTCGAGAATGTTACTTTTTTGGTCCATCTAAGATCAGTTAGCCGCGCAACATGTCCTGCCCACTTCTATTTCAATTTTTGTGCGTAGCTCAGAGCGTATGTTACTTTAGTTATTTTTCTTATTTTTGTATGTCGTATTTTATCCAGTTTCCTTATCTTTAGCATACTTTGTTCGAGTCCTCTCTGACAAATGCTGATCGTCTTTCTCGTGTCAGCAGTGAATTTCCACGTTTGGCAACCATATGTCAAACAAGGCAAGAGGCTCAAATTCATGACTCTTGTTTTAATAGATTGTGGCATATTGCTTTTAAAAATGTCCTTGAGACTCCAGTATTTGTTCCAGGTTAACTGGATTCTTCCTTCTATTTCTAAGTTCTTATTTTTCCTGAATAACTACACACAACAACAACAAAACTAATACTTTTTCCAGATAGACATAGTTTTCAACGTATTCCAATGGTTTGCCATTAACTAATATTGGTCTTTTCAAACTATTGGTCATTGTCTTAGTCTTTGTAATATTCATTTCTAGTCCCACTTTTACAGTAGCTAGGTGTAGGTTTTCTACCATGTTCTATAGCTAAGTATGACTCTGAAAATAGTACTAAGTTATCTGCGAACCTCAGGTGGCTTAAGTAAATGTCATTTATGTATAGACCTCGTTTGCTCCAGTATATATGTATTATATGTAAAAAGTTATTTAATATTTAAGAACTTTGTATTTTTGTAAATCGTTTTCGATGGTGTTAAGAAGTCATAATTGAGTAAGATTTTATTTATTTTATTTTGTAATATTTGTATTGGTTTTAAATTACTTTTAGCTGCAGTACCCCATATTTCGATTTGATAGAGTGAGGCTTTACCAACGTATTGTATATTAAAAGTCGAGCATGTTTCGGTATATATCAAACTATTTTATGCAGTGCGCCCACAAGTGAGGAGAGTTTATTGTGAATATACTGTAAGTAATCTTTTCATGTCATATTTTTGTCCAGTGTTAAGCCGAGGTATTTTTCTTGGCTAGCTTGTTGTAATATCTCACCGTTAATGCTAAGTTTAGGTTGATCAGATATTTTTCTATTTTTGGAACTAAATATTATGTATGGAGTTTTAGAAGTATTAATTTGCAGTAGATTGTACTAGAGCCAACAGTGAAGTATGTTTAAATCCTCTTGGGCGCATAACGTTATTTTTTTGGCATTGCTTCAAATGTAAAATAAACTTGTATCATCTGCATTGAGAGCAAGGCGACACTGTACTCCTGCTTGGTGAATGTTGTTTATGGAGATCAGAAAGAGCAATGGGCTGGGAATTGAGCCAAGTGGTAACCATATGTTAAAAGCTTGCGACTACTCTCGTAGTCTTCAATTTTTACAATCTGATAACGATCATCCAAATAAGACTTTAGAATTTTGTATACGTTTTCAGTAATGCCAATATCTTCAAAATTTTTTTAGTCGTACGGAAAGGCTGACCGTCGCTTGTTTTTCACATCAACAAAAACACATAAAGCTAACTGTTTTTGATTAATTTTGGTTTTGATGGTGGTTATTAACAGCTTCGATGCCAACTGGAATATGGTAACGTCATAGGAATATCCGTTGTTTTTTTGTTGTAAAATATGCATGAAGGACGTTTCAATATAGTTATTTTGGAAATATTTAACTACTTTTAGAAGGTTTTGGTAAGAAAATGCTAAAAAAAATCCACGAATTTGCGGAGCTGGCACTAAGATTGACATTTTCAACCCCAGTGCCAAGCCCGAAATTTTGCAGAGTAGTTTCTTTTATGTATTATGGTTTATTTAAAATTATCTATGGTATTTAAACACAAAGAAAATAGTAGTTTGCTTAAATTCGAATACCTTTGGTAAATGTAAGCAGTGCCGGGCGCGTACTAATTCGTAGAAACCAAGCGGCGCTACTTCGCATATAAGCGGGGCCGGCACTCCGCGCCCCGCGAACTATTACGATGACTATAACGATGATGATGACGATGATCATGACGGTGATGATGCCGTTGACGATGACGATGACGATAACTATGACGATGACGATGACGATGATGACGAACGATGATGATGACGATGACTGATGACATGATGACGATGACGTTGACGATAATGACGACGATGACGTTGCCGATTACGATGACGATAACTATGATAACGAGTTGATGATGACGATGATCCGATGACGATGACGATGACGATGACGATGACGATGACGATGACGATGATGATGACGATGACGATGACGATGACGATGACGATGACGATGACGATGACGATGATATTGACGAAGGCGATGATGATGACGATGACGTTTACGATGATGATACGACGATAATCACGATGATGATGACGATGACGATGACGATGACGACGACGATGACGATGATAATGACGAAGACGATAATGATGACGATGACGTTTGCGATGATGATGACGATGATGATGACGATGATGATGACGATGACGATGATGATGACGATGACGATGACGATGCCGATTATGATGACGATGACGATGACGATAACGATGACGATAATGATGACGATGATGATGACGATGATATTGACGAAGGCGATGATGATGACGATGACGATGACGATGATGATTACGATGATAATGACGATGATGATGACGATGACAATGACAATAACGGTAATGATGACGGTGATGATGACGTTGACGATGACGATGCTGATGACGATGATGATGTAGAGACGATGACGATGATGATGAAGATGACGACGATGATGATGACGATGGTGATGATGATGACGATAACGATGATGATGTCGATGATGATGTGGATGCCGATGACGATGATGATGACATTGATGATGACGAAGACGATAACGATGACGATGACGATGACGATGATGATAATATTGACGATGACGATGACGATGACGATGACATAATGATGACGGTGATGATGAGGATGACGATGATGATGAGGATGACGGTGATGACGATGACGATGATGATGAGGTTGACGATGACGATGATGATGACGATGACGATGCATGAAGAACACGATGACGATGACGATTATGATGACGATGACGATGACGATGACGATAACGATGACGATAATGATGACGATGATGATGACGATGATATTGACGAAGGCGATGATGATGACGATGACGTTGACGATGACGATGACGATGATGATGACGATGATGATGACGATGACAATGACAATAACGGTAATCACGACGATGATGATGACGATGACGATGACGATGCTGATGACGATGATGATGAAGATGACGATGACGATGACGATGAAGATGACGACGATGATGATGACGATGGTGATGGTGATGACGATAACGATGATGATGATGACGATGATGATGTGGATGCCGATGACGATGATGATGACATTGATGATGACGATGACGATAATGATGACGATGACGATGACGATGATGATAATATTGACAATGACGATGACGATAACGATGACTATAATGATGACGGTGATGATGAGGATGGCGATGATGATGAGGATGACGGTGACGATGATGATGAAGTGGACGATGACGATGATGATGACGATGACGATGTCAATGAAGAACACGATGACGATGACGATGACGATATTGATGACGATGATGATGACGATGATGATGACGATGACGATGACGATGACCGCGATGACGATGGCGATAATGATGACGATGACGATAATGATGATGACGAATGACGATGACGATGACGATATCGATGACGATGAGGATGACGATGATGATGAGGATGACTCTGACGACGACGATGACGATGACGATGACGATGATGTGTTGACGATAGCGGTGATGACGATGATGATGATGATCACAATGACAATAACGATAATGACGACGGTGATGATGCCGATGACGATGACGATGACGATGACGATAACGATGACGATGCTGATGACGATGATGATGAAGAAGACGATGACGATGACGATGATGACGATGACGATGATGATGATGACGATGATGATGTGGATGCCGATGACGACGATGATGACATTGATGATGACGACGACGAAGACGAGACGATGACGATGAGGATGATGACAATGATGGCGACGACGATGATGATGACAATGATGACGATGACGATGACGTTGACGTTGACTATAATGATGACGATGATGATGATGATGACGAATGACGATGACAATGATGATGAGGATGACGATGATCATGAGGATGACTGACGATGACGTTGTCAATTACGATCACGATGACTGACGATACGATATTGATGACGATGATGATGACGATGATTGCGATGACGATGACGATGACGATGACGATAGACGATATTGATGACGATGATGACGACGATGTGATGTCGATGAAGGTGACGATGACAGTAATGATGACGTTGACGATGACGATGACGATGACGATGATGATGACGATGACGATGTCGATGACGATCACGATGACGATGACGTTGACTATAACGATGATAATGTCGATGATTATGACGATGATGATGATGATTACGATGATGATGACGATGTCGATAATGATAAGACTCATCATCATATCGATGAAAAAGAGCATAATGATGATGATGACGTTGATGATGTCGATGTCTAAGACGACGACGATGACGATAATGATGACGATGACGATAATGATGACGATGATGATGACAATCACAATGACGATGACAATGACGATGATTATGACGATGACGATGACGATAATTATGTGTTAAGTGACTGCGGATGAGTTAATTGCATTCCTAGACCCGACGATGACAATCACGATGACGATGACGATGACGATGATGTTGACGGTAGCGGTGATGATGATGATGATGATGATGATGTAGATGATGATGATGACGATGATGATGAAGATAACGATGATAATGCGATGACGATGATGATGATCACTATGACGTTGACGCTGACGGCGACGATGACGATGAAGATGACAATGAAGATGACGATGATAATGACGATGATGACGACGTGTAGATGCCGTCGATGACGATGACGATAACTATGACGATGACTAACGATGATGATGACGATGATGATGACGATGACGATGACGATGACGATGATGATGACGATGACGATGATGATGATGGTGAAGATGATGATGACGAGAGACGATGACGATGACGATGACGATGACGATAATGATGACGATGATGATGACGATGATGATGACGATGACGATGATATTGACGAAGGCGATGATGATGACGATGACGTTGGCGATGATGATGACGATGACGTTGACGATGATGATGACGATAATCATGACGATAATGATGACGATGACGATGATGATGACGGTGACGATGATGATGACGATGACGATGACGATAATGATGTGTAATGACTGCGGATGAGTTAATTGCATTCCTAGACCCGACGAAGACGATCACGATGACGATGACGATGACGATGATGTTGACGGTAGCGGATGATGATGATGATGATGACGATGATGATGAAGATAACGATGATAATGCGATGACGATGATGATGATCACTATGACGTTGACGCTGACGGCGACGATGACGATGACGATGAGAATGATGATGATGATGATGTCGATGTCGAAGACGACGACGATGACGATAATGATGACGATGACGATAATGATGACGATGATGATGACGATCACAATGACGATGACAATGACGATGATGATGACGATGACGATGACGATAATGATGTGAGTGACGATGAGTTAATTGCATTCCTACCCGACGAAGACGATGACGATGACGATGACGATGACGATGATGTTGACGGTAGCGGTGATGATGACGATGACGATGATGATGACGATGATGATGAAGATAACGATGATAATGCGATGACGATGATGATGATCACTATGACGTTGACGCTGACGGCGACGATGACGATGACGATGAGAATGATGATGACGATGATAATGACGATGATGACGACGGTGTATATGCCGTTGCCGATGACGATGACGATAACTATGACGATGACTAACGATGATGATGACGATGATCATGACGATGATGATGACGATGACGATGATGATGACGATGACGATGACGATGATGGTGACGATGATGATAACGATGACGATGATGATGACGATGACGATGACGATAATGATGACGATGATGATGACGATGATGATGACGATGACGACGATGATATTGACGAAGGCGATGATGATGACGATGACGTTTGCGATGAAGATGACGATGACGTTGGCGATGATGATGACGATAATCATGACGATAATGATGACGATGACGATGATGATGACGGTGACGATGATGATGACGATTACGATGACGATGCCGATTATGATGACGATGACGATGACGATAACGACAACGATAATGATGACGATGATGATGACGATGACGATGACGATGATATTGACGAAGGCGATGATGATGACGATGACGTTGACGATGATGATTACGATGATAAACTGACGATGACGATAATGATGTGTTAAGTAGCTGCTGATGCATTCCTAGAACCGACGATGATGATGACGATGACGATTATTATGACTTTGACGATGACGATTATTATGATGATGACGACGAAATCGGTGAAGATGCCGTTGAGGATGACGATGACGATGACGGACTCACGTGTTAGAATCGAGCCTGCCAATGGTTACATGCCAATGGAATTTATAAATTATATTCGAGATAAATTTGGGATGGATCCCACTTATTTATGAATAGCAAATAACATAAAAGAAAAAAGTTACATAATCATTATCACCATCATCAAAGTTTATTATAAGTACGTTGTTAAAGATTAGCGTTATCATCCTAAAGACAGGTAAAAATTAGTATCTTTAACTATATGATTTAATGTTACTTAAGCTAGTTGAGAGCTTTGGCTTTTATATTTGCACAGGGTTTGCGATTGCGAGGGTTGACGAGTGTTATAGTCGGTGCATTGCAAATTCTCTCTGTCATGTTGCGCAATAACGAATTTGGCTTTCTACTGTAGTGTATTTTCAATAGCTTAGGATAGGTTTAATCTATTTAAGTGCCTAGATGCAACTACGATGCTATTACTTACTAAATTAATTTTCCAGAACTTTAAGGGCCTCAAGGACTTTGGTAAAAATTATGCATTTTAAATTAAAAAGTACTCCAACGGAGGATCTTTTATTCTTGATCTTAAGGACGTATTTACGTTCCCAGCGCTGATTTACTCAAAACAGTACTTTTCAAACCTGTTAATATCCATCAACCGTTTATTTAGCACAAATGTTAATTATTAGCGACTGTAGGAAATTTTATGGTCTAAATAGTTAGCAGAAATATTTTTCAGTAATACAGTATATTTGAATTCTATCAAAAAAACTAAACAGTGATTTTATTAATGTCCCTTTTAGCGTCAATTCCAAAGCTTAAGATATCTAACCTTGACAAAATTAAAAATTAACAAAATATAATCAATCTAAAAGACCCATGGTAAATAATGAGAAAAAACGATATTTTGATTTGCGTTAAATACAAAATAAATTTATAATTCGAACCACGTAAATTTTTCAAGAAAATGCATTGGATAAAACGACTATATAAAAATAATTATATGTACATTTTATGGAATAAAAACTGAACCTAATAAAATGTAAAAATGACGAAATAAAGAAATTCTAACAAAGAAGACACGCTAACGTTCAATTAATATAGTATTAAATTCAATTGATCCTTTGCAAATATTTATACTGTGGCATATATTTACCGCACGGAGCACAGATTATTATCATAGTAAAAAATAATATGTAGTAGGATAACTTCTACGCCGCGCGAGACTTAAATGCCTACCGTTGCAGGGTTTTCACTGTCTTTTTGTTTAACAGCTAAATCTCATTAAGTTTTGTAAGTAGTTATATTATTTACAAACATAAACATAATACATAGCCATACGTACCTATGCATTATATTTGTTAATTATTTCTTTAGTTTCCTCTCAAATAAAAATCAATGTATTTATTTCAAAACATCCAGCTTTACAATATTTACTACTTTAAAATATGAGTAAATTAACACTGAGCATGGTGTCAGCTCAGATTTAATGTTAAAAATTTATTTTATCTGATATGATATGGTAATAAATGTACCTATGAGGTGTGTATCTGTATAGATATATTCATCATCATTATCATCATTACAGCCCTTCACAAGTCCACTGCTGAATATAGGCCTCCCCCAAGTAATACCACAAAGCAAGGTCCTGAGCCACCTGCATCCATCGACTTATGAATATCTTACCAGGTCGTCACTCTATCTAGTGGGGGGTCGCCCTACACTACGCCTACCGGTACGAGGCTGCCACTCGAGAACCTTTCTTCCCCATCGCTTATCAGTTCGAGCCGTTCGTGTATCTATACCAGCCTTCGAGCCGTATACGCATGAAGAATTACACAAATGTATAGATATAGTAATATAAAAAATAAAAAGATAATTTACTTAAACAAACGAATATTTTAATTTATTTTACAAAAAGAGAAAATTAAACGAAAAAAAAGACTGCTAGCAAAATTTCATTAAAAGTCGACAAAGTCTACAAAGGTTATTGCGGTGCGCGGCGGTGGGCGTCCCCGACTCGGTTCGATCTCCCCGACTTAGCAGGTGTCGTTATGTGCGTGTTGTGACTCGTGTGTACCAGTCCGTACTGTCACGTGCCAGACCCGCATATATTTTAGCGGCGTTCGATACCTTTCTTAGGAGAGTAGTACTATTTTGTTTTGACTATGGTATTACCGCATAGAGTATCTAAGGTTTGCGGTGTGTCGTGAATAAATACGTCGTGCGTCGTACTAAATGGCGTAAGCTGGAAAAGTGTTATTATTGCCTATAGGTCTGGGATAACCTCCCCTTAAAGCCTTTATATATATATATATATATATATATAATACCTAACTATCTGATTTCACCGCAGTCAACAATGGTTTTAACCGATTATGAGTTTTCACTGTGACATATTATATAATATATAAAACTATTTTAATGTGTGCGTGCTTAAGTCGGCTTGCAATTCGAATACGTAAATTCAAGCATGTCAAAAAATAGGTGTAAAGGAAGAGCTATGGAAAACCATCTTCTGTTTCAATTTCCCTCTGTCGCCTCTTACGACACCCATGGAACAGTATGAGGTAGTAGATATTCTAACACCGCCACTATACAAGTAAGAAGAAGAAGAGAAGTAACTTGGTGTAATATATACCCGATAGCTTTTGGAAGCGGCTAGGTGCGAGTGGATGTTTGAAACCAAAATTATTTCAATATATTACAGTTCATTTTCAACTTTTTATATAATAAGCTGTGCCCGACATGCGTTGCACCGTCCGTCTCCTTTTTTGTCAAGAAACTTTGAGGACGCACACAACAATTCGCCACAGTTTCACTATGAAATTAATGGTACAGAATAAAAGTTGTTCGTCTACGTAGAAACAAACGAATATAAACTTTTATGTATTAGATTTGTATGACCATTAAAGTTAAAGATAACCTTAAATGATTAATAATGTATGTAAAACAAAAATTCCTCTGCAATTTTTTATTAGTTAGTTAGTTGCAGCCTATATACGTTGCACTGCTGGGCACAAGCCTCCTTTCATTTCTGAGCGGGTTTCAAGGAAAATAAATGTCAATAATCGAAACTGGGTTGCTCACATCTAAAGATGGATGGATGGAAAGATGGGCAAAATTACGAATACGTAACAAACGGCAAAAAAGAGGAAAATATGTTTGCTATGTTTCCGAAAGGGCGTCTAATATATAGAGGGCGTAGTGAAGCATCCCACTTGCTCACGTAATTGAATGTATTTTATGACTTTATTTTACAAATCTTGTAATAAAATCTCGGAAGCCGTGATTTTAAATTACACGTTGTAAATTAATATATTCCACAATCCAGAACACTATTCAGAAAGCATATGAGCATATTTACATATTGCACAATTCATAAACAAAGCTATGACTACTCATAAGAATAATATAGCATTTCATGAATAAAATATGTAATTAAAAACTGTTTTTTTTTTATATCTTGACTTTGGTACTATCCTCATTTCCAAAAACACCATGAAAAAAAAGTGAGCTATATGATACAAATGTGTTTTATTGATCAGTGAATATCAAAACAAAAAAAAAATAGAAACCTGAATACGAAATACTTCGATGGTCTCTGTAAATAACTGAGGCGTAAAACTAATTTGCGAAATGTCGATCAATAAATGGCGGTAGCGCGCATACATTACAAAACTGAAACTAGCTATCTAAAAGCAATACCGAAGTCGAGACTTATACTCGGTTCGAAATCGAATTCTATGTATCGAGGGTGTCACAAATATTTATAAGAATAGCTATAAAATAAAAAAGTCCTGAGTGGAGTTGGGGTCTACTTACACTGTAAGTATAAAGATTCTTTACCACGTGGAGTGCTCTGAGGAATTGTTCGGATTAATTCAAGACACAAAACACCAACGCACAATCCACGTTACGTTATCATCCACATCATCTGGATGCTTGGCGATCAACTATTATACTATTTACTAGGAGATTTTTACCTCGCATGAGTACTTTGTTAAATCCTTTACAGCCAGCAATTTTTCCGGGCCGTTACCACTTAGGAACCTTCAAGAAACGAGCTTACTCCATTTTAAAAGGCCGTCAACGCATCTGCAATTCCCCTGGTGTTGAAGTTGTTAATGGGCGGTGGTCGACACTTACCGTCAAGTGAACCATATGATCGTTTGCTTCTATTGTATCGTATCTATAACAACAAATAATATAGCTGAAGAACCTATAACCGATGGGGAAAAAAGGTTCTCGAGTGGCAACCTCGTACCGGTAGGCGTAGTGTAGGGCGACCCCCCACTAGATGGAGTGACGACCTGGTAAGACATGCAGGAAGTCGATGGATGCAGGTGCTTTGTGGCATTACTTGGGAGAGGCCTATGTTGAGCAGTGGACTTGTGAAGGGCTGTAATGATGATGATGATGATAATGATGAGGTTACGGTTTTGTCTTCTAAAGACTTAGATAACCCAATATATTTTCTCTAAACAAATAAATGATGATGTATACAATTTTACACATAAAAAACACACTACAAGTTTTGTCATAGATAAATCAGTAAAGCAAACTCATTTTTTATTTTTATTACTTGTGATATGTAGAAAATCATTTCATTTGTTTTTTTTTTGGGTTTTATTTATTTAGGATATGCTCACACGGACAGAAGTCAGCAATTTGGAGCAGGGTTAAGAGCGTTTACAGAGGTATTCGGGTGAAATTTCAAAGTAATTAAGAGGTACGGATCTATATAAAAACAATCATGACCGAAAATTATTTTTTTATTTTAAAAATGAAAAGTAAATTACCATCTCCTGGTTTAATACTTGGCTACTACGCCGGTTTTCAAATTATAGCAGATATTTGTTTAAAAGAAATAGGTGTACATATCTATCTGCATTATCGA